AAATTAATAAAAAAGAGCATTGACCTCAAAATTAACTTTTTGTTCTATAATTCAAAATATATTAAATGTTTTCAAATATATCTTTATAAATACTGAAATTTTTATTTTTTGTATTTTATGGGCAAAATATAAGATAAATTGGAAGCAAAATGATTTTTGATTAATCTACATTTGGATGCTTAGTACTCTCAAAAAATCGATTTCTATTTTCTGCAGTTTTTGCTACGTATCTTCGAAACGGCTAGACCTGCCTTGTTCTAAAAACTATTCAACACATCTTACTATCAATAGGAATCGAATTGCTTTTTGAATCATTCAAAACTGAATATATTGGCAATCCTCCACAGAAAACATTGATGTTTGTATGTGTGTGTGTCCACAAAAAATGGTATCCACACATACACACACATCCATTTTTTCTGAGATATGCTAACATGTTCAGAAAACTCTGAAACGTGAAGATATGCAAAAATCTTCATTTTACATTTTTACCGCATTGCTATAAGGGAAGTTAAAAAACTAGTGGTGCATGGCATCGTGCCTTAAGGCAAATTGCTGAAACTTCCTGTACCAACAATTAAAATTTTTGAAAAAATTTAAATTTTTTGAAAATTTCGAAAAAATGAGATTTTTGAGAATTTTGTAATTATTATATATTTTGAAAAATTTGAAATTTTGAGATCTCATAGGAGATGATCTCTTAATGCATTTACACCCAGCATATTGTCTTAAAAAATGTATATTATTTTGATTGGCAATAAAACTATGCAAACAATGTTTTCAAAATATTATTTTGATATTTTTAGAAAAATTTAAACGTTTTACAGAATCGTTGATGTAAATATGTATCCGCACACACACACACACACACATACATACATTTTTTCTCAGAAACCTTTGAAACGTAAAGATATATAAAAGTTTTCTTTTTTGATTTTTTTTTGCGATTACTATAACTTACCCTACGAGAAGTTAAAAATTATTAGGGTTGGACAACCCATCATAAGAATAAATTATTTTTTAAAGTAAAATCTAAGCTTCTAATCTGAACTAAAATTAAGTCGAAAACTGTAATTTGTGATTTACTAAATGGATTTCAACAATCATTTTCAACGTTAATGTTTTCATCGAGTTCAAAGTCCTTTTATTTCGTGTCTCACATCGATTTATAACGAACACGATGATTTTTATGTTTTAAATAATGGAACCGGCGATGAGATCTCAAAAATCAAATCGATCGTGATATCGACATGAGTGCCTTTATTGTATCTTGTTGTCTTGTCTAAATTAAAAATCTCTTTAAGACAAAAATATGAGATTAAATTTAATATCGAATCATGATTTGCTAATACGAAAAACGTTGCGAAAAAATCATACATGGAATCATACATTTAATAAATACATTTAATAAATATTCAGCTGGAAGTTTTACTGAACATAGTCACATGATTGTTTGTTTGATTTGTGTTATTTGTTGTGATATAATTAGTTTGGTTTTCACTTTATAATTGCTCAAAGTCAAATTGGACCTTTGTGCTCCTACCCTAATAAAGATTCTTCAAAAATCAATTTTTGTTCTATACAATATTGCAATAAGCGCAAATAGCTCATAAAATTTTGTAAATACTGATTGCTCTTAAATAAAGTAGATTAAAAATAAATGATTTTACGCCTTTTAAATTTTGTATTTATGATTTTATTCTCATCAATGCAATTTATTACCAAGTAGTTAAATAAGAGAATAGTCTTGTAAATATCATTTTAATTTAACGAATGCGCATAAATTTTCATTTACATCGTTTAAAAACCTGTCTTGCCACTAATGTGACATTTCACACATTTTTTCAACAGATAGAAATTTATGATAGCAGATCACAATTTTATAAGATTTTCGAATAAAATTAGAAATTATGTAAATTATCTTACGAAATTCTGGACCAGATTCGAAAACCTACTCGACTGGTCCATAATACTAATAATAATAAATGGTGGTAATGGATTGAGTCATTTATCAATGTTGGAATAATACTGATTTTTTTTTTAAATCTGTATTAAAATTCTTTCCTCTTATCTTACTACTAGGAAATTATTAACTTCGATTTCACAATCTGAAAAATATATAACAAAATATATTGCAAGTGAAACTTTGTAATTCAGAAATAAAAATAGGAAAGGGAAATATAAGTAAAGCAAATTGTGTTTATTTCAGACATACTTTATTAAGATTTCCTAACAAATTATATTAACAGTGATAATCGTATGATTTAATTAATGTTTTCGATTGTATAAATATCCAAATCTATAACATTTACAATTTGCAAAGTAAGTTAAGAAATGCTAATTTTTTTTAAAAAAAAGTTAATATTTTTGCATAAAAAGCACTACTAATATTTCTAGTTGGATTTATAATTATTATATTTTTTTTAATTATTGAAGACAATTTACAATTTTTTCTCTCAATTTACAATAATTTTAGACATTTACAGACCTTCAACCAATTTACAACATTCAGACCATCTAAAATATTTTCAGATAACTCGCAACATTTTCAGATAACTCACAACATTTTCAGACATCTTACAACGTTTTTAGACAATTGACAACATTTTTTGACAATTTACAGCATTTTTAGATAATTCACAACATTTTCAGGAAAGCTGCAACATTTTTAGACAATATACAATATTTTCAGACAATTTACAACATTTTTAAACAATTTACAATATTTTTGGACGATTTGCAACATTTTTAAACAATTTACAACATTTTCAGACAAATCACACATTTTTAGACAATTTACAACATTTTTCAGACAATTCACAACATTTGCAGACCATCTACAACATTTTTCGACAATTGAAAACATTTTCAGACAATTGAAAACATTTTTAAACAATTTACAACATTTTCAGACAATTTACAATATTTTCAGACAATTCACAACATTTTTAGACAATTTGCAACATTTTCAGACAATCTGCAACATTTTCAGACAATTGAAAACATTTTCAGACAATTGAAAACATTTTCAGACAATTTACAGCATTTTCAGATGATCTGCAACATTTTTAGATAATTTGCTACATTTTCAGATAGTTTACAACATTTAGACACAACATTTCTAGACAATCAACATTCTCAGATTACTTATAACATTTTCAGTCAATTTACAACATTTTCAGAGAATTTGCAACATTTTCAGACATCTTACAACATTTTCAGACATCTTACAACATTTTCAGACAGTTTACAACATTTTCAGATAATTTACAACATTTTTAGACAATAAGTTTTTATACAATTTACAATATTTTCAGATAATTTACAGTATTTTTAGACAATTCACAACATTTTCAGGGAGGGAATCTGCAAAGTTTTTAGACAATTCTCACTATTTTCAGAATTGCTGTAACAATTTAAAACATCTTTGGACAACCTTTAACATTTTCACATAATCTATAACAATTTCAGACAATTTACAACATTTTAGGGCTTTATAAACTATTTACAAAACTTTCAATCATACAACATGCAACAATAATTTCTAAAAATTTTTAGACAATTTACAATATTTTTTGACTATTTACAACATTTTCAGACATATTCAGACATACTCAGACATTTTACAACATTTTCAGACAGACCATCTATAAATTTTCATACAATTTACAATCGTTTTGTTCAATTCGAACATTCTCAATATGATTATATAATTATGAAATGCATTATGTAACTACAAACATAAAAAATGGGCTCATGAACGAGCCTAGATCATTTTATGACTATATACAATATTTTCAGGAAATTAAGAAATATTTTATACAATCTACAGTAATTTAAAAAAAAAAAAGAGTGCGCGTAAGGATCACACGCGATTGAAGTAAAACTTTTAATATTGTATGAGTAGGCAATTAAGATAAAAATAAAAAAAAACATCATATTTGAATTTTAAAAATCATCTTTTAATAATCATATAACATCAATAATAATAAGATCTCCTGAGCATCGGCACAGCTGTCCTACTGATATTAAGAGTTTGAATATGATGTGCAGCTTTCTTCCTAATTTTGTTACCTATCTTACCGGGAAATTCAAACCATAAACGTAGAAGTTCATCATTATCGCCACGTTCTATGTACACTAATTTTCCCACACAACCATTAGCTAAGCCATCACTTACATCGATATTAGTTGTTATTATGTAAAATTTATTCAGAACTAAAATTATTTCATACGGCAAAGCCCCGGTATCAATAACCGATTTTTTTGAAACTGCTGACGAATGTATGATTGTTGATCTGTCGCATGGCAACCTACATAAATATCCGTGGCAGTAGATATTATTTTGTCTTCAACGAGATTCAATATAAATTTATTATATTCCATGGCACATTTATTCTCTAAGACAAGTCTTATTCCATGAGGACATAACATAAAAATCGTGATTCATTAATGCAAGTTCATATAGGGTTTAGCGCTCGACTTACGCATGACATGACGGGAGTGGATACTCGCGACATCAGCGCTTACGGCGTCGTAGTGTTCAACTACACGTTGGCATTTTCGTTGCATTTGTACGGATTTACACCCGTGTCGCGCCTAAAAAATTTTACACCCATATCGCGCCTAAAGAAGTTTTACTTCAAAAATCAAAAATTTTGCTACTAGTGTTATCCTCCTTGGTTACACAATCTTGTTGAAAGTTGCACTAGAAGTTTCACTTCTAACAATAATATAATATATAGTCGAGATACCCAGCTGTAAGTCTGTAAATACTTGTATATTGACACCCTAAAAGTTGTCTCAAAACCTACATATGGTACGCACACCCTACCATATGTAGGTTTTGAGACAACTTTTAGGGTGTCAATATACAAGTATTTACAGACTTAAGTTGGGTATCTCGAATTTCGAAATTCTTACCTAATTTAAGCTTAAATGACTAGACTAACAATAATTATCACCACCAATTCTAACCTAACTTTCTTCTCTCCCCCCAGCTGCACGGGTCGTTACGTCGGCGAATTCTGCCAATACCCCGATCCATGCCGAACCGGTCCTGGTCCTCGATGTCAGAACGGGGGCACCTGCCACGTCCGAGTGGCTTCGTCTCCGTTCTCGTCGCCCTCGTCGCCGGCGTCCCTGTCTCTGTACCATCACAACGGGCACCACCATCTGAGTCAGCCGGGCGCTCCTTCGTTCACCTGCGCCTGCCCTCCTGGATACACTGCATCGCTGTGCGAAATAAAAGTGGCCAACGCCTGCGACTCGAGACCATGCCAGAACGGGGCCGAGTGCAGGCTGAAGACGCTGGATAGCTACACTTGTGCGTGCAGACAAGGATACACAGGTAAGGGTCAGGGGGTAGCGTGCCTCGGCGGGGCCCCGTATCAAAATTGCTTGGGGGCCCCCCTCAAGAAAAAAAAAATTTTACAGAATATAAAAATACATAAAGTTAAAAAATATTTATTTATCATTCTTATTATTTATCTATCTAATTTTCTTTCATTTTCTGAATTTTTTGCAAATGATTCTAGATATATATTCACTTTCTTTGATTTTTTTGAAAAATTAAATTATTTAATAATATTTAAATTTTATAAAGATTTCTGAAAATAAGAACATACAGGTCTGGTAGACATTTCTGTCCTAAAGTTTTTAGGTAATTTTTAGTTTTAATTTTAAAAATTTTTTTTAGCAGTTAAAAAAAAATGCATGCTGTTATTGCGTTGGAAAAACTGGATGCAAGCCTAATGCATCCATCACATTTCTTAGATTTTTGAATTCAAACTTATTTTTAGAGTCATCTAGGGTCATTATCTTATGAGATATTTTTATAGTATTTCTTTACAGTAATTCAGTCAACAGATTTCCGGAAAAGTTTATCAATTCTTCATTTCAAAAAGACTAATAAATGAAATAATCTTTGTTTGGTTTGTGAAATTAATATATCCGAACAGCAATAGTATACATTAAAATAAGGTTTCGGGTCCAAAATTCTCTCATCTTGTGATAACTCATCATAATAACTTGTAATAACTCATCATAATACAGCTTTATTATCTTTTGTCTTTTGTTCTTTGCAATATTTATTGCAATCCATCTTTTTTTTCAAAATATTTCGTCTTCTTTAGCAAACTAATTCACTAAATTTTCATGTTTTAATTAATTTGCACAGTCTTACGTATTCAAAATTGTCATATTGTGAAATTTTAGAAATGAAACTAATAATTTGAAACAGTAAAGAAAGAAATTTGAAAATGATTTAGTTGATCATATTTAACAAAATCTAACTATACACGGCATGCAGACTATTCAAGTAGTAACAAAAACAATAAAAAATGTTATAAATATAACTATGAAAATTCCAAATTCCAATTTTCGATAAAGAATGTATAAACTGGATTAGTTTTATAGATAAATTCTCTTAAAGCGTTCAATATTTCTCGATAACAAACGAAAATGCAAACTACGTTAAAATGATTCAATTTTATTAAAAAAAAATTGTTTTGCTTTCTAATTACGCTCGTTGGAGGCCCCCCTGGCTCGGGGGCCCCGTATTTTTGATACGGCTGATTAGGCATGAATTACGCCCCTGTTAAGGATAAAGGACGTATCGAGGTAAAAGATCGATATTGAGTACTTTAAAAAGTATCTAATAAAAATATCGATGCCAAAAAAATATCGTGGCGAAAGTATCGATACTACTTCATATCGAATTTTGAGTACTTTTCATAAAAATCAAACATAAGTCCAAAAAAGATCTAAAACTCATTAAATATCATATCACAATATTAGAATGAATTCTATTACTTGTATCTGATGTGTTAAATCAGAATCATTCTCAATATTGTAAAATTTTAACAGTAATTTTCAATACTAATTTCAAATTTTATAATTTTTCAAAAAAAAGACAAGTAATATAATAGTTGAGTATTTTTGATTAAAACAATATAATAGTCTGATATAGGGAATGCAATACCGATGGGAAATTTCAATACCGGTATTTCGGTAATTTTTCATTTTAAAACCGGAATACCGGTGAATTACCGGTATTTTTATTATCCTAAACAAACGTAAACAAAATTGAAAGTTACTAGTACAAATATAAAAAATGTATATACAACTACAACTATATTCAACTAAACAATAAAATAAAACAATAAGTTTATTTTTTTAAATAATAATTTACCAAAGGATTATGCAATTTAATTAATTCATTATCACTATCGAGTATATTGAGTACTTTTCACCAAAAACAAACTTATGAGTAAGAAAGACCAAAAACTCATAAAAGATCATATTACACTATTATAATAGACTGTATTGTCTGTATCCGATGTGTTAAATTAGCATAATCTTCAATATTTTAAAAAAATAATTAATCTAACACTAATTTAAGACCGGATACTTTGTCGAGATAAATAATAAGTTACTATTATTGCTCAGTATTGTTATTTAAAACAATGTGATGGTTCTATAGTATTTTCAAGCTTTTAGAAAAATAATATTTTATAATTGTAATAAGAAGCAAAAATATTTGGTAATTATAATTGTTATGTATAAAGTTAGAAAAAAATTAAGATTACCCACGGGTAATCTGTATGATATAAAATATTTTGGCGCAAATATCACTTAAAAACCGTTACATTTTTACAAAAGATGAAACAAACATCATTATCTATCAGTCCAATTCTATTTATTGTAACACGATATGAAGCCCTTAGTAAAGCAATAAATATTCAATTTAATGACGAGTTGAGATAATATTTGACATTTGTTTATCTTATAGAATCACTTGCAGATATAGCTGTTTATGCGATTGTGGAATTTAAAGATAAATTTGTTCCGAGAAATTTAAACTTTAGGGTATTATGTACCAAATAGCGCTTATGTAAACATACCGAAAATACCGGTATTTTTGGAATAAATACCGGTAAAAATACCGCCGAAAAATCGGGCGGTTTACCGGTAATTCGGTATACCAGTAAACCGGTATTGCATTCCCTAGTTACAACTTATATATTTTTTTCTTCAGGTCTTCACTGTGAAGAATTGGATCACTGCGCCTCGCACCCCTGTCGCAACGGGGGCACCTGTTCCGGAGCCCCCGGAGCCCTGGTGTCGTCGAATGCCATAGCGGTTCTCACTTCGTCGTCGTCGGGAAGTGGGACGTCGGCCGTGGGGGCTCCTTACAGGTGTAGATGCACCCCCGGATTTACAGGACCAGATTGCGATCAGGATATCGTCGAGTGCGCCAGGAAACCCTGCAAACATGGAAAGTGCCTGAATACTAGAGGGAGTTACAAGTAAGTAGGATAAAAGATTTATGTGTGTGTATACTAGGTAGCCCGGAAATTATTTTTAAGAAATTTTTAGTATAAATATACTCTTCACGTCTCAATTCCCACACTATATTGGAAATTCATGTCTTTTAAACGGTATAAAAATCAGAAAAAATAAATATGTACTATATTACCTTGGATTTTTCCACCCAAAATAATTGCTCCAATAATGTTGCCTATAATTTTTATAATCTCCTATCATATTTTAACAGGTTTTTAGTAATTATAATATCTAAATTACATTTTTCTTACTTAGTAATTATTTAATATACATTATTACCAGGAAAGCTCCTGGGGTCTTTAGCGCCCGCATGTCATTTTTTTCTAGCCCCCCACCCCTATTATTTTACCTTAACAGTTTATTTTTAAATGTATTATCATTTATTAATATTGGGCTTTTGAAACATTTTACTTGTTTATTTTTGGCATTTTATGCGATTTATTCTATTGAGCAAATCATAGGAGCAAAAAAAATCTAGCCTTTCGTTATCGTGACCATAACACAACACTGGTATTTCATGTTGAATTATTTTGATTTAATTTTTTATTATTTATGATATCCAATATTGCATCTTAAACTTCTCCTAATTGATATCGTAAGAGCCGAATTGTATTTTTTTATCTTTACTTTCCCATTTGTTGTTTTAAAGTGAAATTTTTAACTTATTTTAAAAATATTGTGCAAATATTAGCGAAATATGCAAAAAAATTATATATTTCTTGAATGATATTGAAAGAAAAACCTATATTGAAAATTTCATATCCGAATCTTGTGTTGGCGCCCCCTAAGGCGTGCGCTCGCATTCAAAGTACTGATTATTACTTAATTTGATATTTTAAGTGAATTAATATGTCAAATCCTGTTCATATGTGTATCATTCAATCTGCCATACATATACTGTATTTTATATTATTTTAATTTCTGGCACATCTCAGCTGCTTTTTGGCAATAATAATGTAGACATTTTATTTTTCTTATTCATAAACATGAATTTATTATACATATTCTAATATTGTCTAGGCTTCTAAGTAAATTGAAATTGTTGGTAGATGACAGTTTTCATTTGTTTTCAATGCCAAACAGTGTCTTAAATATTTTCAATGTCAAACACTGACATGTCGTTTTTTGCATTTTTTTCCATTTATTTCTACAATCTTACTATATTTCTATAATTCAAAAAATCCTAAAAAATTCCCTTAACAAACTTCAGAAAGATTTATCAAAATCCGAATAATTGTTTAGGAGGAGTATATTTACATACATCATCACAGAAGAATTTCATATATAAGATATAATTGTGATTGAGAAAGGTATTTGTGGTAGACATTTCATTCTTCTTATTCATAATCATGAATTTATCATACATATTCTAATATTGTCTAGGCTCATAAATAAATTGAAATTTTTGGCAGATGACAGTTTTCATTTGTTTTCAATGCCAAACAATGTCTCAAATATTTTCAATGTCAAACAATAACTTGTCGTTTTTTTGCTATTTTTTCTATTTATTTCTACAATCTAGTATATAGTATATTTCTATAATTAAAAAAAATCCTAAAAAAATCCCTTAACAAACTTCAGAAAGATTTATCAAAATCCGAATAATTGTTTAGGAGGAGTATATTTACATACATCATCACAGAAGAATTTCATATATAAGATATAATTGTGATTGAGAAAGGTATTTGTGGTAGACATTTCATTCTTTTTATTCATAATCATGAATTTATTATACATATTCTAATATTGTCTAGGCTCATAAATGAAATGAAATTTTTGACAGATGACAGTTTTCATTTGTTTTCAATGCCAAACAGTGTCTCAAATATTTTCAAGTCAAACTATATTTCTATAATTAATAAAATCTTAGAAAATTTCCTTAACAAACTTCAGAAAGATTTATCAAAATCCGAATAATCGTAATAAGCTCGGCATTTGTGGCAATAAGTTATTACCACAAATGCCTTTCTCAATCACAATTATATCTTATATATAGAATTCTTCTGTGATGATGTATGTAAATATACTCCTCCTAAATGATTATTCGGAATTTGATAAATCTTTTTAGAGTTTGTTAAAGAATTTTTCAGGATTTTTTGATTCATAGAAATATAGTTAGATTGTAGAAATCAATGGAAAAAATTGAAAAAACCGTATGTGATTGTTAACTAAAAATTAGGCTCTCAACTATCTAATTGTGAGTTTTATGCCCCCAAGTATATTTCTAATTCTAATAATTTCCTCGTCTGCTGGAGCCCCTGACTGTGACCCCCTTGACTCGACTGACCGGCTCACCAAGTCATAAGTCGGAGTCATTGCGTTTTACGCGGAATGAGACTCTATTAAAAATTATTACATCTGCCTGCCAAGTGGTAATTATACATACATACATACACTTGTTGTTGAAGGAGATATAGGCAAGGGGGCAGGGGACGAGGGACAAGGGGGTACGCATAAAAAGGTAGGGCTCCTCGTAGAGAAAGATAAATGTGGTAAATGTACAGTGAAACATTGTACACAAAGGAGATAAAGAATATATTAAGGGAAAACTGTTAAAATAAATGGAAGAAGAAAATTTGATATTTTCAGGTGACAGAAGCAAATTATTTCTAGATATAGATTTTTTTAACAAAAATCATTTTACGGCCAATCGTCTGCTATCAAAAGTCTATTTGGTGCAGGTGGAGGTCTATCTTAAATTTTTGAGAAATTTTTAAGTTTTTTCTTATTGTTAGATAAAAGAGTTAACTTTGTAATGAGCACCACTGACTCTTAAGCGAGTTAGTCGGTTGATGTGAGGTTATTGACTCTCTTTGTGATGCTCACAGTCTTACTCTTTCTTCGCTGTTATGTCTTGAGATTTAGTTAGAGAGCTAGCAATAACAATAATAACAACAACAATAATAATAATAATAATAATATAGAGGACGTTAATTCTACATATCAATATTATAAATAAACTAGTGGTGTATGGCATCGTGCCTTAAGGCAAATTGCTAGAACTTTCCGTTTCGAAAACTAAATTAATAAAAAAAAACTTTGCAAAAATTTGAAAAATTTAGATTTTTGAGGAATTTTGAAATTTTTGAAAAACTTAGACTTTTTTAAAAAAATTGATTGTTTTTATATTTTGATTTTTTTTTGTTTTCTGAGTTTTTTTGAAAAATGTGAATATTTGTTTTAAGCAATCGTGCTACTTAGCTAGTTTGGAGTCGAATTATCAAAGCGCGTAAGCGCCGCGTAGTCGTCTAATGTGTAAACATTGGTACGGAACCCATATAAATGTACACAAAATTTGTACTATAATGATCTTTATAAACCATCTGATAATATGATGTACATGTATGTAATGATTAATTTTGACCGTCAAATGGCATTTTTATTTAGATTGGCTTTTTTTTGAATCTCCGAAACCTCTAGACCTGCCTTCATGAAATTTTGATCCATTCTTCATCCTGTTAATATAAGTAAAATGTTTTTTGAATTATTTAAATCGGACGCTCCGTTCTCTTAAAAACTGAGTTACCGGTTTTGGCACTTTTTGCCCCGTATCTTTAGAACGGCTAGACCTGCCTTCGCCAAAAACTAATCAGCACGTCTCCTTATCAATACGAATCGAATGTTTTTTTAATTGTTCAGTGCTGCATAGCTGACCCATATAAATGTACACAAAATTTGTACGTATTATTATAATCTACATAGAATATTTGATCATTTGATGTGCATATGTCTAATGATTATTTTTGACAACCAAAAGGATTTCTTTTCACTTTTTTTACTAGATCTCCGAAACCGCTAGGCCTGCTTTCCCAAAAAATCAACCAATTCTTCATATCGTCAATACAAGTAAAATGTTTTTTGAATCATTCAAATCGGTTGAACCGTGTTCCCGAAATCGTCGACGAAAATTTGTATCCGCACACACACACTTGCATACAAACGCACATACATCCATTTTTTCTAAGTTATGCCAAAATGTTCAGAAATCTCTGAAACGTAAATTTATATAAAAATTTTCATTTTCTATTTTTTTGCGATTACTATAAATTACCTTATATTATGTATTTTATATATTAATAATTTAAACATTTGTGTATTTTAGAATGTAACAAAATTATTTTTCAACATCCTAATTTCCTAGAAAACTTACTGGTCCAGACACAATTTGTTTCTTAGTTTTGTGCATAATTTAAGTAAAACTTCTTTAGTCAATATATACTTAACTCTTGAACTTCAATCATAATCAAGTTTTTTTATTTAAAAAAAAAACCAACTTCTCAATGACATTGCTTTATAAATGGCAACCCAAAAAATATCCTAAATCTCTGATGAGTTTATTATTACAATTTGTATAATACTCATGTATTTTTTTTTTATTGATATAGCAATGCCGAGTTAGGAATATTTTCAGTTGGAAATATATTTTTATCTATATTTTCTAAAGAAAGCGGGTGTTGCTACTACTTGACATCAGGCTGTCCAAAGCGGGTTCGTACCTAGAACTTCCTAATGAAATCCCACAGTTCTAAAACTAAGCCAGGATAAACCTTAACATTATAATTTATATTTCGGAACATGCTCTGCTTCAGCGCACAGATTAAAAGACTTTTCACACATTTTTACTTAATGCAAAAAACGAAAATTAACACCTAATTTCTGCAAATTTGGCATACCATAGAAAACATTGGATGTTTGTATGTACTTTACTTTTTATTAGCTTCCCGTAGGGCAAGTTATAGTAATCGCAAAAAAATCGAAAATGAAAATTTTTATATATCTTTACGTTTCAAAACATTGTGGCATTTTGAAACATTCTGAACATCTTGGCATACCTTAGAAAAAATGGATTTATATGTGTGTGTGTGTGCTTCTATATTTCGTCTCTATGCAGTTAAAGCAGTACGATTGCTTTGAAAAAAAAAATCAGAATTTCCAAAATATTTCAAAATAAATTTTTCTTCAA